AAAAAAAAAAAAAAAAAAAGGTAAATGGGCACACAAGAACAAATGCTGCAATAGGGAAAAGTACACAAAGAGTCTAACGACTTACTACTACTACTACTACTAACTAACTAACTAAAGAGGAGGGCCATGGGGATGGATGGCCCCAACCTAGCTTAATAGATTAGCCATGACTGACTGGACTGACTGACTGACTGCGTGAGGCCACCACCACCACCACCATCCTCAATCCTTTTGGATTTCTGGTTTTCCTTCAATTTGATTGACTCTTGCTTCGGTCACCCGTTTAAGAAAAGATAACTTGATTATAATACTAAGTTTACTTATGAGGTGATCCTCCCACATAGAAAACTACGGGTAAACCTTTTTTGCGATTATTTACCGTTCCTGTCGACGATAAAATCATCCCGAACAGAACCGCGCGGTCCAGATAACAATCTGCAGACCTTTGCCAACACATCCTCTGCAGCCGTGAGACGATCGCCTGCCCCCTCCTTATTCGATACTTGAATTTCCAGATGATCTCATCTGTCGGTTACGACGTAGTACTTTGCACGATGGTTTGAATGTATGTAATGAATCCCAAAAGACAGGGTATGTAGCCTGTTTTCTTTTTCTCTTTTGCCTTTTTTTGTTTGTTTGTTTTCCACTTTCCCACCCCCTTCTTGATCGGTAAAGTAGCATTGCGACTGGCAACACGGCACAACTATGGGGTATGTATAAAAACCCAGGCCAAAATAGATTAAAGACCCTGCCATATAAGCTGAGGCCTAAGTTGCTTAGCCTACTTCGGTAATGATTACATCGTTGTTTTCTTATTTTTCCAGAAGAAAGGTCACCAGCCGTCCACGTTGATGCCATCATTACCACAACCTATTATAACCCTTTTGTTGGCATCAGTAATAGTTAATAATAAGTGTTCATTATTCAATCTTCGGCGAAGAAGGAGGGGCGGGCTGAAGATCCGTGAAGGATTACCATCCTTTTGGCAAGTAGACGAACAGACGAATCATAGCTGGACCTGCTTCTATCTTGGCGACCGAACTGCGATCTCACTCCGAGGCAAGTGCCGCTGAAGGAACGATCTGGAGTAAACGAAGTCGTCAGCCTCTTCAGGCCGGGCCTGACTGACATCCTCAAACCCACTAGTGTGCCGCGGATTGAAACCCGTCACTGTCAAAAGACTAGCCGACCCATTTATTGTCTTGGGAGGATCCATCCTGGGTGAGCACGGTGGTATGTTTTTGGGGGCCCTTTTTTTAAAGCCTGAGGAAGTTTTAGCAAGCACAAGACAGGAAAAGAAGAAGGCGGCGGGGCTCGGCGATGACGATCCGGGACGGACGAGTCTGGAGCGAGAGAATTGAGAATGATTGAGAGACAACGGGGACGCCCGATTTGGAAGGACTCTCTCTGTGGGTGAGAGTGTCAGAGAGAGACCCGGTCGGTAAGGTAATTTTGCTTACGAGGGATCATCCATGGATGTAGGGGAAAAGAGGAGAAAAAGGGAAAAAGAAAAAAACAAAAAATAAAGAAGATCGAAGGAATAGGCAGTGTTGACAGATCTCTTTTCTATGACTGAAAAGAGGCAGGCTGCTGAAATTCTCAGGCAGTAGATCTGATATCAGTATTATCAAAGTCATGCATATATCAGACATGTCGCACATGATGGCTGTAAGGAAGCCGATGAAATCACCCTTCAAGGTCGGTCGGGTGCCTTCATCGACCGTGCCTGACACACACACACACCCACAGGAGAAGGGTTGTTCTAGGCAGAGTGGACCGTGGCCACAGCAGCAGCAAGAAGCAGCAGCAGCAGCAGCAGCACACAAACAAAGCAAATCTTGAACCCCCCACACTCAGCCGAGAAGTTCCACATCCTCAACCTGAAAAAGGACCCATAATGGCCAGGGAAAAAGAAGGAGTGACAACCGATAATTGTGTCACTATCTCCACAACTCCGTTTGGCGCCGATCGGCCCCGAACTCATCCTAACTAACTAGTGCAGACGAGCACACAAATCACGGGATGGGCTTTTGCTAAATCACCCCAGTTCTCGTATCTCTCGCTTTTTGAATTCCGGTGTGCCTGGGCTAGGTGTGAGGAAGATGAGTGTTCTACTCAGCGTATTGCGTTTAGAAATTGATATAAGAGGGATAGCGCAGGATTAACTCGAAATCGTTGGGGGTGTGGTAGCCGTTATCCTTCACTTATCTTGTCTGCTAGTCGAGTCAATCAGCAGCACGCGCCCCCAAACCTTTCTAGCCTTTTCTCCAATCTTCTTTCTCCCTACGCTTTCCCTTTCCTTCAGCTCCTCGAGTCCATTAGCTTGGCATCGCAGGGAAAAGCCAAGACGATTACAGTTTCATTAAGTGGGACTTGCCATCCGCAGCTTATCAGCTAGCTGTATCGAAAATTCAAGCGCGAAACACCACCCTAAATAAAGGGCGGAGGCGCCTCGGCCATGACTTACTGTACGAGGCAACAAAAGAATTACCCAAAATCGGATGGCCACTTTCCTCTTCTCCATATGACAAGGGGAATTGTATGGTGCCAGTGAGTATTATCAGGGCCTGGACATCGTTAGTCCCAGGTTTCAACGATGCAATGCTACACGGCATATTAGAGCCGAACGCAGATTGGCTGAGGGTCAGAATTGCGGCACAGTCAATCTGCGCAAGCTCCAAACCCAACTCAGGCGCGTAGCATATCCTCTTGGCTTACCCCATGCAAGTGGTTCGAGCATATGACTCTGGCAAGTGAGCCAACTAGTCCATCACCCGCTTAATGATCTGGATGATATGCGTACGCGCATGCGCTCAGGCAGAAAGCGAGGGGAAGGTTCCGAGGAAATAACAGCCATTTTCTCCGTCTGCAATATGATGGGCAGACCGCCATAACATTTAAGCAGAAATTAAAAGAAAATAATGAAAATAATGAGAAAATAAAAAAAAAAGGCGGATGATCATCCGTCTGTCAGCGCCCGTTGTAGATCCTATCCCGGAGTGTCACAAATTCCTTCGTCCCCAGCTCTGCTCCGTACATGAAAGACAGGAGAACTAACCTGACTGAGTGGAGGGGACCTACTCTGGGGCATGTCTCCATGAGGACAAGCTGGCCACTGCTTGCTTAACGACAGCTAGCAAGTAGCAACAGAAGGTCGCACCTGCTGCAACGAGGAGTGATCCAGACAAGGTACTAAACTACTACTACAACAACAACTTCAACTATTAGCTCACTTTCTGCCATATCCCCGACGGCGACCCTCACCTGTTCTGCCTTAGTTCCCACCATCTTCTCCTCATCCGACGCGTAGCCGCAGCTGCATTCGGTCACGTGAGGGTTCCTCGCCGGGGAAGCCAGGCAGACAACCTATGAAGAAGGCCCATTTTAATTAATGGCGGAGCTCGGCAGGTCAGTAGTTGGCTCGTTCCAGCATGTCGCAATCCTCGGTGGTGGAGACCAAGTCGAAGAGAACAAAGAAAGTGGGCGGCAGGGATCAACTTCATTCCAGCAATCGACGTCAAGCACGCCAGGACACTGACTCGTAACAAATTACACGACCGGACGAGGGGGTGGACATTTTAGCCCATCCATGTGTCTGGGACTGGGTTGGAATGGGCCGTGTAACTAATCGAATCCGGGATAACTGTTTATAATCACATTCTTATTGAAGGTTATGCATCAGATGCAATGCAGTGATCATCTCCCTCGAGCGGTCAGGCAACTGTAGCACAGCGTTGCAGTTGCAGCGCCCATAGGTGGTGGAGGTCGAGGTCTCGACAGGAAATGGAAGGATTGAATAGGATCGCTGGCTAGAAATGACCTAGAATTCAGAACGTTGCGGCTCAAGTTGGCAGCGCCTTTTAGGGGAGTCGAAGGCCTGCCGGGCAGCGCCAGCCTTGGGCGCACAAAGTGAGGCACAGCCGCGGCGCCTGGAGGCTCCCGGAGCAGGTCGCTGGTGTCTAGCAGCGCTACTAGACATGGGGACTAGATGCTAGTAGTAGCATCTTAGCCTGAGGGATTGGGCTAACTCCTGGGGGTCCAGCGGAACTCCGTACAACGAAGTACGAAGTACTACCGACCATCCTGCGTATGCGTAATAATCAAACGTAGTGATGCTGTCACTTTGTAGGTGAAACAAAGCCGACTCCACTGGCACTTGCGGCGATAATAACTTGTTATACTAGCCAACCTGCAAGCGAGGTTAAGTGTAACTTTTTGCTGGTCAGAGAGGTATGCAAAAGACCAGCCCAGACAGCACCCATGTATGAGGTAGTACCTTCAGGGGCTATCCTGGTCTTTCAACCCAGCCATGATTGTCCCAATTACGAACCATTGCACGTTCTACATACCGAGTCCGGACACAGTAACTAAATGAGGGATGTTGTGTTGGTATTGTGTTGCCATTGTGTGACATATCGGAATATGTGCCGAGCCTCACCTGGTTTGGGTCTTCCAGAAACATCGATATGTTCCTGTATTGTGTACTACGTGGTGGCTGAAGCCACCACCCTTCTCATACCATAGTTCCATCAAAGCCACCGGCCCGTCATCGGTCAAGGATCTCCAACTCTAAGCTTGCCTCAAATTCCACTTTGATGCAAATACTCTTTATACTTAATACGTGCGGATTGGATGAGGAGTGGTTCAATGCATGGTAAATATATCCGGGGAAACAGTATGAAACAGAACATGTTTGTACTTACCGGAACGGACGGGAAGATCCCGTCGGGTATAGTTACAGAGCTTTTTGGTCACTAACAATTTCCCCTCACCACCGTGACGAGGTAGTTGCAATAGTAACCATCCTTTCTGCCTTGCACAACAGCAGGAGTCGCTGTCAATGTCATCAAGGCTCAACGGTGATGCGGCGTTGCACATGACGTTGCTTTCTTCTGATGGACCAATGCATGGAACCCTGACGGTGGCTTAGTTATGCTACCTGGGGACGGACGACAGACAATGGCTTAGACGGCCAGGCATCCATCAACTAAGGAGTCCCATTCCTGCAGCCTGGTGTATCCTCGTTGCCGTGAACCACTCACAAACTTGAACACTGGATTCGGTTCTATCGTCATAGACACTTGTTGGCGAGGATCCATCTCTGGTTTGAAGGAGCGGGGCCAGTTTTGGGATTCAAGGCAGTTAGAACGGAGGAGAGGCACCACACTTGGCCAGAGCTCCCGGAGCCTAAGGAAGGGGTGTCTTAATTCAGCTTGCAAACATTCCGACTGGACCACTTGGTTACTAAAGGCAATAGTGCCCCGTTTAGCCCAGATCAGATTTGACGCGGACTGGATATGTCAGATGTCAACTAATTTAATAGCCTAATAAACTAACCACAAAATGAAGCTGGAGTTGCATTCTCACACGGAGCAATCTCCGAAGTGCTCTCGTTCTAGGGATAGTGTCAACAGTTAGCATTCTAAAGTCTCCTAAAATGATTTGATGATTTTTCCGACGGAATTCCCGATAATTGGTACACTTGATACTTTTCGCAAACCCTTTTTCTTATCATGCCAATAATACCGCATCCTGTGTAATAATAATATAAATATTAATCTGGAATCTGGTCTTCATTCCAGACGAGGCCGACACTCGCCCCGAAGCGAAGTAATTATGGTAATTCTCTTTCATGTCAGCAGATCAGCTGGGGGAGTCTCATCAGCTGATGCTCCCTCTAATCCTCTCGATAAGCAGTGACCACTGCGTAGTGATGCACAACGCCTTTCCAATCATCAACCACATCACCTGAACACCATTAGGCCGACTACCTCACATCAGCGACCTGTTGAACAGATCATCATGCAGAATCACCATGGGCCCCGCCTCTGCCTCCATTTTTTTTTTTCTCCCCCCTCCCGTCTCCATTCATTCCGAGACCATTAGCCTCCACCCGAACCGGATCGGGGCTGATCTAAGTACCGACCAAAAAAGTTATCAAGCAGGCTATCCACCGAACGGCGAAGCTAAGAGCCTTGGAAAGGGTTGGCACGGAGATCCGGCAGGAATATTCACCAGCCTCTTTGCAAAGCCACGGGCACGTTTACCCATGATAACTGATTGGTGCCTGTCTAAATTCTAGAAGACACTGATCGGTCCGGGCGAAAAATCCTTTGCCGCAGCGAAGGATTGTAGTCTACTGCGCTAGATGAATAGAGGCCGACCTTCTTTCTCTGTGCGTGGTAGGATTTCAGACCACGTTCACCACGTTTGATCGCCAGGATCTGTGGCGTGGTGTTGGTCGGATTGACAGCGCCACCGTCTAGATGTCCATACTCGACCGGTCAAGAGGATCCCATCATGATTGTTTACCCTTTTGAAATTGGCGCAGTTACTGATCTTTGGTTCCGGTGGATCGACTATCTTGAAAAAGGAGCCCCCGCCTCTTCTTTCTCTCGTATTCGTAGCACCTTTTGTCCGCAGTAGGTAATACTCACATACTGTGTCTCCTCCTTCAAGTAAAATTTCATCCGACAATGCTTATCACTTCCTTTTTTCATTTTTTTTCTCTCTGGAGAGCTAGCTCCCTATAGGGATACCCGCATTATTAAGCTCTGGCCTGCACCGGAGCCTGACTGCCAAGCCGCGGCCGGCTCAGATCCGCCTTGACGATAAGCTTCAGCTCCAGGTCCGAGGCCGCAGCCACAGCGGTGAAAAGGACACCGTCTGCCTCCATTCCTACTGCCATTGACTTTTCGCCGCAATTACTTGGCTCATTGGTGGACTTTTGATGAAACTCAAACCACACCTGCTTCTGATTGGACAACTTGTCTTTCCCGTTCGGGAAACCTCGGTGATTGACCTTGAATATGCTAAACATTTAGTAGATGGACAGGTCGTAAGAGGATGAGACCCTTGCCTACTACAATGAGGTGTTTACTCGATCAAAATCTCTCATTGTTCGAATCTATGCAAGTAGAGTTGACAATTCTCGGGGAAGTCGAGACTATGCTGACTGAAGGAGTCAATCAGTCTCGTTTGCCTTCAGCCTCATTCCTCTTCGGGCCCCCTCTGCCCATTCCCTCAGGCACCGACGAATGTCTACCCCTGCGCCTCCCAACACGTGGGGCCAATTGCATCGAGCGCAGGCCTCAGTTTCTCCCCGTCGGTCGCTGCATATACTTAGTGGCGAACGCTATGCCTAGCAGGTCGACTAGACAACTTAGTATGGTAGTCAGAAGCGAGTAAACCATGCGCGATGCCGATTCCCGATACGGATCCCGAGTCTGGCCGCGCCGTAAGGCAGACCCATTTTGATTTCTTTATTTTCTGTCTACTGACGAAAAGGATAAATTGCATGCTTCGAGACAGACAATGAGATTAGCACCTAAGGTATGGGACAGGAGTGGAAACGCAAGACAGGCGCATGCATTTTTCATTATTGCACATTGTGCTCGGCCGAACGACGCACCTGCAACCAATCAGCTTAGCTCCGAGCCAATGATTGACATCTAAAATAGCAATCTAGACTGTCGTAGACGAGGATTTGCGGCGCAGTCGTTGTACATCTGTCCTGACGCTACGTGATGCAGTCGCTACGGAGAACGGAGACTAGCCCAGTCCTTAGAGTCCGGTGTTTAAGAAACCGAGTGGGGGTGAGGGAGGGGGGGGAAGAAAGGAAGTACTCCGTAGACGGTCTTTTGGCTAGCGTCCGGAATGGCTGTCCCCCGTCAATAGCTTATGACGGGTGCTATCGACCCTTTTCTAACTACTCCGACTTTGGACGTACTAGTGTTACTGGTACCTACAGAAGATGGTCCGCACACCGTAGGTTAGTCAGTAATAGATAGCTTACCTACTCCTTACTAAGGTGGGTAAGCGACTAAATGAAGGATGTATATATGCGTAAATCTGTATGTATGCATGTGCTCGACAACAATTTCATATCACAAGGGCGGTCCATTGTCAATCAGTCAGTCAGGATGATGTATGTATGCCGGGGAGGGAGGGGAAGTGACTGGACTGGGCTACGGAGCACAGGAGGCTATAATTATCCGACGCAAACCAATAATGATGCATACTATATGATGATCGCGTCGATGACTTTTCCCATCCCCAAGGGCCTTCTAGTTTACGGCCAGATTACATACTAGTGTGGGCTGCCATGGAGCCAGAGAGGAAAGCATTGACCCCAGTAAACTGGCCCCTGCCATGCAAGCAATCAGGCCTTCCCCTACAGTGCCTTTGTTGAGTTAAGCCTGGCTGCAGCCCGGATGGGCCGGCGCGCTGTAAGGTCCGATACCATACCATACGCCTTCACCCACGGCCAATCCAAGCCGGCCGGCCGTTCGATCGACGTCGGCAAGCGAGATCGATTCCGCGTCTCAGACAACAACCAAAGAGTTAGTTGCTGCAGTTGCTGCTGCTAGCCTGCTAGACGAGCTAGTGGCTATTCTGTTCTAGTCTCTCTGCCTAGAGAAAGTCACAGCCGGTGCGCCCGCCGCCTCTTCAGTGTCACGCTGGAGTCACCCTAAATGGTGCCACGGGCAGCAAAGTACCTCCTCTAGAGGACGTACCCCAGGTAAGCTTACTCCTTGCTTACCATGACTGAAGAAATGCCTAACCGTTTTCATCCACTGAGTCAGTCAGGTACCAGCTCGAGCCAGCTTTTAACCTACGTAGGGCTCAAAAAGTAATATCTAGGCACTGTGAAAGCTTCATGATTGCTTTCATTGTTCAAGACATCCTCGGTTTACCCACCGTGGACAGCAAGCGCAATTTCCCTCACTTTTTCCCCTCCCAGCCTCGGGGACCATTTGCCAAACTTACCAGGGATACCAGCCTACCCAGAAAACCCCTCAGCTGGACGGAACCTGCTCAAGGTTGCCTACTAATGCCCAACTATCACACCCTCAACCAGACTGTCGGGTCCATGGTGTAGTATTTGCGCTGCGAGAATCAGCCGGTGGCCTGCACTGATTGTCCCAGTTAATCTAATTTATTTTTTTTCTTGTCTCTCCCTCTCGCTCTCGCACAACTGGGACCTGCTGCATGGAGGCAGCCGGATTCCTGTCTCATCCCTCTCTTTCCGATCCATGTTCGTTAGGGTCATTCGTCTCCCTCGTCTATTCGTCTATTCGTCTGTTTTTGACTCCGGAGTACTCTCGACCACCAACCCCCTCCCCTCTCTTCCCTCCAGCAGAGGATATGGAGCCGCTCAAGAGACGGAATATTAATTTAAGAGTAACACTACTACTACTGCTGCTACTACTACTAACTCCGGACTGATACTAACCAACTAATTATCAACCAGGAGTAGTTTTGAACACGGTTATGCAGAATGCCTCACCCATCACCCACTCTTTTTAGTTGACTTGCCTTACGTTCTATCCACCTCATCATTACTGACTTCGTAATTTGTTGACCCTCTTTGCTGAGGAGTCCGCGGAGGAGTCCTTCCCTCCCCTTGAGTCCAGTCCTCGGACCACCCCCGGCGAACCCATGGTTGCTCTCCATTGCTAAGCATCTCTCAATCTCTGGTTCACCCAGCTTTTCTTTTCATCATGGACAAAAAGCCAACCCTCCACGATCGCTAGAAACCCACAATAATGATAACATAATACCGACAAGACATTAACGATTCCTTCCCCGTCATATTTTCTCTTTGTTTCCTCTCTCGGTGATCTCCGTGCAAGTATCCACATCGAAAAACAAGGCTAAACCCCTCCGTTCTCGACCTTGTTTCGCAACCTGGCCCTTCTTTGTTCTCAACATTCCGAGGTTGTATCCAGAATTGGGGCGGGAAGGGGCCCCAGGTAGGTACTTCTGCCGAATCCCCATCCCTCTGTTTGTCTAGTAGTAGTATCTATATTATTGCTTGCTAATAGCCCAAGGATGCTTAGTTACCATCTCGTAGTGGAGACAAAAACCAGACAGACAAAGAGACAAGACAGACAAGGCCCGGCCGGCCGACCGACCGACCGACCCAGGATTGAGCGCCGAATGGATTCGGTTAGTAACCGTGGGTTTGGACTCATTGTTTCAGGCAATTTCCTTATAAGGTACTCCGTAGCGTGTTAGTCGAAGTAAGTAGTATTAGCTTACATGGATGTGCTAAGATACTCACGGGCAAGCCCCGCGTGCTGCTTGCTGTGCGGAGCCAAAGCGATCTTCACTTCTAAATAACTATACAATGTTCATCATCGCTTATTGTAAGTACCTATATTTGATTGTGATATGATTGTCGTGTTTGTATACGAAACCATAGCAGACAGTATTATACTTACAGTACTATGGGAGTCGAATCGAATCTATTTAACCTATTGACTAGCTAAATATGTACCCTCCGACCGAGGTAAGTAACTACTGCGAGTCTGCGACAACAATGACAAATACTGGCTTTTTTCTCCTGCTTCTTCCACTTCCCCGGCCTGCCTCTCTCCCTCCCTCTCTCTCTTGGCATCTCTTTCTATTTGTTTACCACAAATAAAATCTCCGGGGACCGGTATAATTACTATGCCTACAATAGCATCCATAGCGGGCACGAAAACAGCGACGTAAGGAGAGAGAATACCAAGATATTTCCTCTTACCCCTTCCTCAGTCAACTTGATCACTACATTATGCAAGAAGATATATACATACAGGGTACTAGGTAGTTCATATTCCCTCCATCGACATAACCTATGCCTTATACCTTTCTGAGTAGTATAGTCATGTACTTCTACGTAAAGTAATATATCCTTCTCAGCAAGGTAGGAAGATAGGAAGGTAGCTAGGTGGTTAACAGTACATTTACATGTGATAAGGTACATACATAGGTACTTACATCTCGTGTACCCCTTTCCTTCCACCCACCCACCTTCCTCCTCCCTTCACTACAGCATAAGTAGCGTAACCGAACATACATAGCAATAGGTCACTCAAGTCCAACCCAGGAGATGCATTGCAACAATAACCACAGTCCCTGTTCCAGTTCCCCCGTACCCAAAAAAGGTAATAGCCGTAGAGCATACCTCCTACTTACCGGTCCGAGTATCCGTTGCAGCCGGATACATACTATCCTAAAGACACACACACATCGACCCAACATACACCCACACCCATAGTCCATACAGTCCCCATAGGCGCACATGCAATTATGCAAGACCCGAACCTCACTGCAATGGCAGGCCGGCAGGCAGACAGGCTATTACTAAATGGGGATTGATCCGTGCTACAATGTACCATGTACATTAGCACCAAGCAAGTAGGTAGTATGTAGTTGCTATGTCCGCATTCATGTCTCACTCAAATCCTAGTATGCGATTGAAAATGAACTCAGATAGATATATCTCCTCGGAGAAAGCACCCCCCTTAACTACAACCAACCCCATGATAAGAAATCCAGCCCTGCCCAGCAATCCACTGCAGACAGCCAAGCATCGAAACCAGCACACACCTAAGAAAGGGATATGCAGGGTGTATCTGTACCACGAGTCATTAAATTTTCTTAATAAAAAAAACCCCCTCCACTGCAAAATGCAGATCACCGAAGGGAGATAGAATGAGGAAAACTGCTTATTTTGAATCAGTGCACAGCAGATTTACATCACACCACATATAAAGTAATCTTTTCGGGATTTGAAAATTAGAAAATTTGGGTTTGGAATGCTAGAACGATGGATGTGTGTTGATTTTGACTGGGCTTGGTTGGCTTAATCAGCTAATTGGAATGCTTTGCGTTCGGTCTTTGGCGGCTTTTGGGGGGTGGTTTTGGATATCTTGGCTTATATATGCACGGTAGGTATGGCTTTTTTGGGGGCGTGCTTGGCTGCTTAGTTGGAATGTCTGTGATAACTTGGTATTGATTTCTTTTAGTTACTGCATATGGGGTCTTGATTTACTATTTCGTTATTTCTGACTATTGTTTTTGATGGAGATGGAGAAGAGGGTTATTATGTCCGCTATGTCCGGGGTAGGTTTCTTGGCGGTGTATTGTATTGTATAGGCGCGTTATGGATGGTGTATGGTTTCGTGTACTGGTATGTATTGGTCTGGGGGGTTAATGGGGTAGACACTTTCGATGAATGAATGGCATCGTCATGATGTTATGGTTATCTGGTAGCATTATAGCTTGATTGTTTGCTTTATCATGGATTCTGCATGCTGTGGCTGATGTACGCGTCCGTAGATCATGTATAACACTGCTCTATATATGTAGTATCTAGTATCCTCGATATATAATGTCTGAATATATTCTCTAGGATCAAACCACTCATTTCCGCCATTGCATATGGTCAGCGTTGAGCCACAATACTACATCATGCTTCTAGACCCAGCGAGATCTTCACTTTAGCATGTGTCTAAGTACCTGTTTAGATTTAGTATTAACTATTACTCATCTACTGAACCCTAGACGTATAATGCTGCTGTCTCTAACGGAGTCTATTGACAGAAGCCATATGGTATTTTCTGAATGCCATTCCAGCACTCTGAGGCTTCGGGAGTTGCTGATATTGTATTTTCATGCACACCCTTTTCGTCATCTCGGACTATTCCACTGGCAGAGCAGACTGCCCCGAGAATAGCCGACATTGTCCAAGTGACTGGTGTTACCAGCGATCAGACCATGCACTCCAGCAGCTCTTTGGTGTTGGCCGAGATGATGCGCGCCAAGTACCTCTTAGACGTGTACGATGACCGAAAATTGGTTCCCCCACCCTGCGAAACTTTCTGGTCCCCTCTGTTGTACTGGAATTCCTCATCTAGCAAGATGTTGTAGCACGTCCATGTCATCCTGCAGGTCGTTGAGGCATTGGATGATCAATCGGAGTCATTGAACAAGTTGAAGAGTCTAGTGATTTGTATGATAGATGCTGTCGAGGAGATGGATGGTATTTGCAGAACTCAGAGCGAGCTGTGTTCGTAGATTGGTAGCTCACCTTGTGAGAGTGTTTCCAATTAATGACGGTCATCTGCTGGACGACGTTGATGACCTTGAGTAGTCTCCCCGTTGCTCCTCGAGAGGTTTTGTCAACATCTTAAGCCTTCCCATTGTCATGTTATTTCAGCACGTCGTGGCGGATTGTCACTTTATCTCGACTGCATAATGAGACTCCTAGCCAGGGCTCGATCATGACGAGAACACTAATTGCAACAACTTTGAAAGTTAGATGAGCTCTTCTTCGATTAAATCAATGGATTGCAGAGTTGGATCACCCACATAATGATGATAGTGCCAGAGCCAAACAGCCAGCCGCAGGAGTAAGTCTTGAGGTGTAACCATGACGTGTAACATGGAATAAACCTGCCTGTAGCATATAGTCCCATGAGGTAACAGACTCGAACGTTTTTCACCCGAGACATACCGGTATGATGCGGCTTACCCCAACGCGTGTCCTTCGTATCCTTCGCTCATGGGTAGAAAGACCGTCATGTAGAAGTAGACTGCCACTCCGATAATGCAATGGCAGATAAGTTATATCCAGACCACCTCTGGGAATCTCTCTTCCCTGAGCTGATAATAAGTCCGCATCAAACTGCAGAAAGATATGATAGCCTGGTGTAGGTGGGTTCACGTCTCACAATAGTCAGGCTTATGCCCATATAATAAGGGAGGAGTAGCCTTGCCGCTTGTTGATTGCTAGCTGGACTTGAACCTTACATACCACATAAGTATGTATGATAGGCTAACCAGAACGGATCAGTTGACTAGTATTGTTGCAGGGCTTGCCATGGCTTCTTCTGCGGGGTGGTAATAATGTCTCGCTGTCCCCCTTATTCTCATGTCTCTCAAGGGAGACGTATGAGGAATTGTAATTGAATTCAGGGTACATGTACTATGTCTTTTTGCTAGTATTACGTTACTTTGGCTTGGGGGGCTAGCACAATGGAGCTGGAATGGTTGGTTTTGTCTGTTAAGATTCTGCTTCGAGAGGTTCGGGGTGATATGATGCGTTACCGGTATGCTAAGCTATACTATTGCTTATTTAGAGGTCGTTCTTGGGGTAAGTAATATCGGAAGTCGTTGACGATTGTCGCACGGCTCTGAAATGGTTAGCGAGATATCTACTGCTACACCATTCTAGTCTTTGGTACATTAAGTATGAGGTTCAATGACTCCATAGTGGACTGATTGACTTCATATATTGCAACCAATACCTTAGTAGAACACATCGATGCATGTAGCATGCTTTTATTTAAACCTATCTGAGGTGCAAGAAATACATCAGGTCACCACAACGCCTGTCCCTTGAGCAATTTCCCTTAACCCCGGATACATCCCGCATATCATTACCATTTTACTCCATATCCGAACCTGCTCTAGACATGACCATCTTGGTAACGCGCCGTATGAAGATAGACAGACACAGCTTGCTTGACTTCAGTCGATGTGCATACCGGTAGCGAACTCGCAGCTGAGTGAGGTTAGCAGCATTCATCGTAGACAAACACGAGGGTACCTACGGGTCTGTCGCATACTGAACGTTGCAGTGTTCCCACTCAGGATCACGTACGAGAATCCCGCGGAACCGCACAGCATCCTCGATGGAGCAGAAGCGGAAGACGACGTTGCGGGCCTAGTGAAATGAGTATGGAAACACAAGAGGTATGAAGGAGAATGTCGACTCACATCTCCAGGCACATATGAGTCCAGGATCTTTTCAACCTTGCGACCGCTACCACTGGCCATGTTGTACAGCTGCGCCATGCTGGCATCCATGTTGACTCCAACAGCCCTCACAGCGCGAGTCGAGCCAACAGACAGGTTGAAAGAAAGCTGGGAGCTGACCACGTCAACTTCCTTGCCCATCTCCACAAACACGGTGGTCCTTCTTTCTTTGTCGAGGTCGATGCCGTCGGGTACTTGTCGTAGAAGGCCTGGCATGCTTCATGTTCACAGAAGAGAATATGAGCAGTGCCATTGCCATGGACGTGAATAGACTCGATATTGCCACCGTGCACAAGCGACAAAACCTTAGCAGAGGTGCACCAAGTAGCGGGCAAGCCTCTGATGATAATACGACGCACACGAGAAGCTGGAGCAAGCCATGTAAGTAAGTCAACCATCGGAAGAGAAGATATGATGTATGATACCTGGCTTGTCACGAGCAGCAGGAGTGCCCCAGTTCTTGAAAGTAGTAAGGTTCTCGCGGTCCTCTACCTCACTGGCTTGACCTGAAGCTACAGCTTTCGAGCCACTAACACCAGTGCTGATAGCAGCCGCGGTGTCGTCCTGGATCTTAAAGTCACCAGCCACATTGAACGCTCCAGCCTTGGGGGTCTCGGGTTTCACTTCAGGTTCTTCGGCATCAGGCTTGATGCTCCACTCGTCATCAAAGGTGTTCTGGCCAGAAGGTGCTATGGAGGACATGAAAATTAGCTACGTCGCGTCTCAACCACACAATGGCTTTGGTTGCATGGTGTTTACCAAAAACATCATCATCATCACGAGACACGGTGGCATCGTGGCCAAAAGTATCAGCACGAGACTCGGGACGACTCATTGAAGCACTGGCCTTCTCACTGGACGCGTCGACAACAGTAGCAACAGCAGGCGAGCCATAGGTCTTTGGCATCTTCAAGGAGCGAGCAGCAGCCATGAAGCTGACCGTGTCGTCCACATCGGCGACAGGGAACGCCTTGGTATTCTCCTTGTCATCCATGGTGTTGCCAAACGATGAAGATATGGGAGAAGAAGGGAGAGAAGAAGTGGGAGGGAAAGTGTCGATGGGAAGCTTTGACGGAGAAGACCGAGATGGAAAAGGAGGAGCAGAGGAAGGACGGGTTTTGTTTTCGTTGACAGTGAAGTGTGTGGACTCGTTACCAGAACGACGAAGAGGGGGTTCCTGTTAAGGACTAGCAGTCAGCCCAGTGAGAATATCCTCACCGTGCTATGGTAAATTACAACAAGACGTATTGAATGGGGGTGAAGGAGAGAGACTGACCGCGAGGGCTGCCTTGGGCGCATGACGGCTCTCTTCGAGACCGAAAGAGGTCCTCTCCATGAAAGTGCCGACCACACCGTAGATTATACTAGTGATCCTGTTGGCAAACTCCATTGTAGGACCAGTACTCTTATCCATGACAGCTAGGGATGTTCAAGGGACGTTTGAAGCGGGATATCAAGAGATATGTAGGGGTCTAACAACAGGTGAGATGGTTGGAAGAGGAAGAATTCAAGGCGACAGATGAAAAGAAAGACAAACCAGCAACTGCAGAAGAAACATGACAAAGGAATAAGAGAGACTGGCACCCTACAATATGACTAACAGAGTAGGGAATAACACATGAGGTCTAATATGATTGGCAAATCCCGCCAAAACAGCCTGTGACCAGGTGAACTTTGACGGTGAATGGCAGTTCGAGGGCGGTTTTGTCCTGAATGCTTTGGCACAGTCCCTCTACAGGTGATTCTACAAGCATCAGTGTCCCATCTGCTGATGTTCTTTTGTAGTTGTGATACAGTGTGGATTGAACTATGTCCAAGAAGCAGACATCTCATGTCCAATGGGAGTCTCAAGATGATATTTATGTACCCATAACTCGTAGCCTATACAGTGAAGAGAAACAATGCAATATGCATGCAGAAAATATCTACACGTCGATCGAAATCACCTTATGATGGTACCTCGATCTCCTCATATCCCTTCTGGCCCTCTTTGCGATGCTCGATAATGACTTGGAGTCCTGGGCGTCCGCAAAAGCCATCTTTGCCTGCAACCCGATCAACGAGTTGAAATGACCCATTTCCATCTCCTTGTTCATCAGGGATCCAGACTTTCTCCTGGGAAATCTGGCCGGGGACTTCGGTTCGTCGAGGATTGAACCAAGGCATGCCAATGAATTGGTTGAGAATATCATGGATCCATGAGTACAGCTTCTCGAACCGCCGCGTAGTTCCTAGCCAGGAAAGGGTGCGGGTGTCGTACGCAACCCGGACATACGGATTGATATAGATCCCCGTGTCCGTGATCTTCTCTGGATCCGGCTGAGGCTTCTGGATATCGGCATGGATAAGACAGCACTCAGAAGCTTCCCAGAACGTATCATGCGACGCCCGGAACCGAGCAGGTGATTTGTCCTCTTCAGACAACTGGGGCTGCATACCCATGGCCGACAAAGTTGTACCATGCTGGAAGAATCGGGCGTCGAATGCTACCATTCCTCCCCAGCAACTCCGCACCCGCACGGCATCTTTCTGAGCGAGTACGTCCTGGCGGCTCTGACCTTGCCCAGCGCTAGTGAACCACGGGAAGAAGGGCACGCCCACGCCAAAGCCCTGCAAATCGCGCGTCGCATAAGTATCGTAAAACTTGAATGGGTTGATGAAATCCACGGCGCATGCGGCCCGATATTGAGCAACGCCATCATCCGTGGCATTTGTGGAGAACAGAAGCTGAAGCGCATCCACCGGGTTGAATGCAACGTCGTTCAGGTAGAGCAGCTTATCGTAGCGCACTCCCGGCTGGTCGTCCAGCGGTCTTAGAGCTCGGTTCCGCACCTCCGCCAGGTACTCGATACGTTTGATCCGCCTTGAACCGCCGGGAACGGCAACTGTCGGTAAGTCGGCCAGATCCAGATGCTGCTCGAAAACAATGGACTTTTGGCACGTGGTCCGGTCCGCCAGTTCTTGAAGCGCACTCTCTCCATCTCGACCGCTGTCGTTCTCATAGATGCTTAAGAAAACATTGTCTTCTCCGAGCAGATCGATCAGCTCAAGCACACTGTCCCCCCAATGTCCTCGTGCTAGTTCCCCATCAGGGTCATACAAGCTCGCTGCGATGAAGACTTTCTCGTTGCGGATGTTGCCTCGGCCGGATTTCGTTGACTGAGACACCGCATTCCGAAGCGACAAGTAATGTGGCGGTGGCCGGGTATAGGAGGGCCGGAATATGGATGTTAGGACGATGAGAAGGAATATTATGCCGATAACGGCATAAAAATAATTGCAGATGCGGCGGAATAGAGAGCGACGATAGCGACCGGAGTACCTCGACCCCGGAGGCTTCAAATGGCGATAGCCAGCATAAGTTGACGAGAAGAGTCGCGACCACAGGGGCTCTCTCCTGGAATCATCTGGATAGTAGTAGCCAATAGACATGACAAACAGATCTTGACAGGCAAGTCGAAGCAATCACCTTGCTCAGCCCATGCCTAGGATACAGTAGACCATGAAAAACCAGAGGCAGGCCAGCAATCAGGCAAACAAACCATCCTCTTTTCCCCCAAACTTTGCCTGGCCAGGCCACGGGGTTTTCCCCTTTGCCACCAAGGGGAGCGCGCGCCTGCTTATGTCATCGGTGGAAAAGGAGATTCCCCGCTCACGTGCCCAGCCGGCCATCGTGGAATTGGCCATTGTGGGAGAGGAGAACCTGCAGGGAACCCCGAAACCACATGGGGGAGGATGTGTATGAAGATATCTCTTTACCAAGTGAGAGTGTACTGATAACGGCCGGGAACCTCGGGGGATTTCTATCAGGCCTGCCTACCTTAACAGTAAGTAGTAGTAGTAGTAGTACCAGACAATTGCCCCATAGTTACCTTCCGACCGGCCTTATCGTTGTGCTTTTAATCGCCCCGTAGTCTCCGATTACCCCACTCACCCAGAGTCATAGCTGTCATAGGCCAAACCCTGTACCGCAGACGGTGAGGATCTCCTACGACCGCATACCTATTCGAGTACCTGTGGCCCAGGTCAATCCGGGTGCTGGCCTTAGCTCGGAGTGTCTAACTGCTAGTATGCTATCGCTCGCTCCCCAATTAATATGACGTAGGCCATTTCTGCTACGAGAACAAAGAGACCTCTCCCTGCTCTTCCTCACATCATCCATCTCTGGTTCTCCTTTCTCCTCCAAGACCTTCGTATTTTGTTCCCTTAAGAATTATTTCACTTCGATACCTATCCTCCCTTTCCAATTCTCCTTCATCAATCCTTCTCCAATCCGAATCGTCCAACGGGGTGAGGATCTCACAGACATTGCCAAAGCGTCCTCTTCACGGAACCAGACGGCAATCATGACCAAGTTCACTTTCGCCAACTCCTCCGAGAAGGTACCCGGTGATGGGATCCTCCCCGCCCAGTTCTCCATCAGAGCGGCCCCTTCAACAGATGCTTGGTCCAAACCTCCATCCACAGACACTTTCACTGCGCCGATTTTATACCGGAGTGTTCCGTTGAAGTCGTTCAAACGAGTCAGAGTCGCCTTCAACGCAGTCTGGCAGCAGAACTATGACCAGGGTGGACTCATCCTTGTCCTCAACGGTGCGGGAGGTACCCGGAAATGGGTCAAGACTGGCATCGAACTCACTCGTGGCCGACCTCACCTGAGTACCGTCACCAAAGACAACTGGGCGGATTGGAGTCTGCAGCTTGTCCCATCAGGAGGTGGAGCGGCGACGCTAGAGCTGGTGCGAGAGTCAGACAACAGCCTGTGGATTTATCTTGTGGAAGGCATCCAGAAATCCCCTCTTCGGGAGGTCACCTGGGTGTTTGAGGAATCGGATGTTCAAGATTTCTGGGTCGGGCTCTATGCAGCACGGCCTTCGAAAGAGGGGGAGGACTTGGTGGTGAACTTTGGCCATCTGATACTCGACACGTCCGATTAATGGGTCGCGTTGTGTGCAAATGTATCTTATACATGATGTTCATGGTGGTCATGTCATCTATATCCTGTCCAGATTTGAATTGGTAGTCATATATACCTGGGATCGGTATCTCTTGGCAGTCCATAGGATGTTCATACTTCGAAAATGGATTCAAGACACCTACCAAAAAGGATTGATACAATGCAATTTCTCTTCCAGACCGTAAGCACACGTAGGGCTGGAAGTTGCAAGCATGTATTAGCGGTCCTCGATGTGTGCTGGGATTACATTCGAGCGTACTGGGGATGATTGCCAATCATAACTTAGTAGCTCCGCTATGTGCCAGCTCCATTGCCGTCACTGGCTCGATCCCCAAAAGCACCGACCACCACCATGACTGATTGCATTGATAGGTAGGCAATACGCCGACTGTTGCTGGGGGCATAGATTTCCTGCAAACCGGATCACATGAAACAACACCAGCATAGGGCGTCACTTATGGCCAGCATATTCACATCCATGAGGGCCGAGCTCACGGTCTACCTGACGGGTTGGGGATGAGGGATTAAATCTTCAAAGGAGGGGGAAAAGAGAGGAGCACAGCAATAGCATCTGGTCTATATGCAAGAACTGCAGCCATATGAACTGGTCCGGGCTGAAGCGACAGAGGAGAGTACTGAGCACTTGAAGAATCTTGACCAACCGCAAGAAAACTCCGTGTGCAACCTATACGAGGGAAAAACAACGCTAAGCTTTACCACAGCGGTGTCGCACAGTGGACAGTGTACCCATTCCGGAGGGTTGCGAACCGAACTTGAAGCCCAATACAATATCTTTACCCAATTGAGTAAGTGGGTGGATCGTTAAACTTCGGCTCGACTCATCCGTTAATACGACCGACCAAAAAAATATCGCATTAATTTCCTGCGGCTTTCGCGCGTTCTTGTCAATATTCATTGTGGAGGCTCGCTCCTCGAAACTCCTCTCCAAGATGGTCTTTCCAGCTGATCCGATGATTGTTATTACTCACACGGGATGATCGTTGCTTGAGGGGTAAGAGCAAGATGTAGGCAGCGGAGACTATGCACCACCCCGTGACCGACGGATGATGACCAGGAGCGGTTGTTCCCGAGTCATCCAGCATCGGCTGTGCCACTTCCCCCAATCATGCGATGGGGACCGGGATTCCTCAAGAAAAATTACGGAGAGGTCGGCCTTGCTGAGCAATCACATAAATCCGAGATCCTGATTTCTTGTTGGCGTGATTACAATTACTCTGAGTCCCCATAAGACATTCAAGGAGTGGGGGATGAATGTGAGAGAATGAAATACTATTACGCTGTGAAATCGTCGTATTATTATAGTATTAGTAGTAGTACGGTGTTTGATCAGTCCGGTTCGGCCTGCAAGGGGGAGGCGTGGATGATGCGCGCCTTCATTCTTCTTACGAGCAGAATGTCAGGCGGTCTGAAAGGAACAGTATAAAAAGGCAGCAAGTATATATGCTTACACTGCGCCTACTCTTTTGTTCTACTATATCATCTCAACACATGAATCACATTGTAATAAAATAGTAACGACGACGACGACGACAGCAATATAAATCCATCTATTGCTTGTACCAGGCTTCCCTTTTTACCGGGTCCGACCGCCGGACCAGGTGATCTTATCATATCTGATGCTCAGTCGCCCGCCTGCGTAGGATTCAGAATCCCGGTCGCCTTGCCACACTATCCTCCCCCCACCAACACCACCACGCTTTTCCCTAGTGAACTCCTGCAGTCGAAGCCTTCTTTGCAGCAAGGCCCAGGGGTACCTGCTCACTCGATCCTCCTCATTTCCCGCCTTCTATCCGCCTGCGAACGAATCTCCCCCCCCTCCCTTCCCCGTCAATGGGTGCCCGTGGCCGAGGCACAAGCTTTGCAACCATTCAGCCCGCCCGAAAGACCCCTCGGTCTCATTCGACCAACGACTGGCGTGGGACAAAACAGAACATTGACAGCTCCGTTCGGACTATCTGGTGCAGCAATTCAGCGGGTGCCACACTACCCTTCTGGGCCACGGGCGTTTAGCCCATAGGCTAGGTCCTGGGCTCCCACTTGGACTTGCATAAGTGCGGCCTGTCGATCGTGCCCAGTGGTGTGAATCATATCGGGGAGCCTGATTTGGGCTTGCAGACTCATAGCTGAGCCCCTTGGCCTCCGTTCTCCGGGCTGTACGCCAGATCTGGCGATCCACGCGTTGCTGCGCATTCCGCTGCTTGATTTGGTGACCTAACTGATGCATGTGGTACCCAAACCTGGCTTCAGAGTGCTCCATCTTGCTAGTGTCTTTTGCTTTTTTCTTTTTCTTACCCTGCTTATTCTTTAGACTTTGATACCCCCTCTTCGTTGGCTAGTGTATTGCTTTTTCGTTCGGTGGATCTGGCTGGTACAGGTCGCAGATACCCTTTCTCGTCCGCTTAGCCTTGCAATCGTCAGCCTGCTCCGTCCTTTTCATGCCTGGTAACTTCGACATTGAAACTATCGGACTCGAACTGTTGCTTCATCTGCTACCTTCACGACGACGAAGTATTTGACGACCTGTCGGCATAAATGGACTTTGGTCATCTTATAGCTACCCAGCGATACTATCCATCAACGATTACGGCCCAGCCGCGATGCCCCTTCTTGACCACCGCACAGCAGTCTCATATGGTACCCTCGATCAGATGGATCAAGACAACAGGGAGGCGGAGGAACGCCTCCTTCAGGCGGAATATGACCCTGAAGGGCAGGATAGCGAAGTAGAATCCTCGGTGGATTCGGTTCAGGAGGGTGTTCGGAAGATTGAAGCGATCAATCTGACATGGACAACACGGTCGTTAATCATAGCATATGTCAGGTAAGCCTTGTGAACTATGAGGATTTGTGTCTGCTCTCCATGTCTTTTTGAAGTCGCTAACGATGTTTAAGCATTTTCCTCATGGCTTTCTGTACCTCACTTGAAAGCCAAACCGTGATGTCCCTTTCGGCTTATGCCACCAGTGCTTTCAGCAAGCACTCCCTTATCTCCACGGTTCTCGTCGTTCAAAATGTGGTGAACGGTGAGCATGTCTTTCCCTTGGGGCTATTATCATTGTCCGCTGACCCTCGTAGCTGTTATTAAGCCCCCTATGGCGAAGGTTGCCGACGTCTTCGGTCGGTTCGAAGCGTTCTGTGTCAGCATTCTCATATACGTTCTCGGATACATCCAAATGGCTGCGTCGACCAACGTTCAGACTTATGCCTCTGCCCAGATTTTCTACTCTGCCGGATCTACCGGCTTGCAGATTCTTCAACAGGTGTTTATTGCCGACAGCAGCAGCCTTTTGAACCGTGCGCTCCTGGCGCTTTTACCAGAGCTTCCATTCCTGGTCACGGTCTGGATTGGCCCGACTATTGCGAACGCAGTGCTTCAGCATACATCCTGGCGATGGGGTTATGGAATGTGGTCGATCCTCCTACCTGCCTCGTTTCTTCCCTTGGCACTTTCGCTATTGTTCAACCAACGCAAGGCCCGAAGACTGAATTTGATCAAACCTAGACACCCTCATCGACGAGGCTTCCTTTCAATTGTTCGCCACACTTGGTACGATCTCGACATGTTTGGTCTGATCTTGCTCTCGACAGCGGTGACCTTGATTTTGGTCCCCCTTACCCTTGCTTCCAACGCTAAGAATGGGTGGAAGAATGGCAGCATCATCGCGATGATTGTGGTTGGCATCCTCTGCCTTTTCGCGCTTCCCGCCTGGGAAACATCAAAGAAATTGGCACCCAAGCCTCTGTTGTCCCTGCATCTACTCAAGGACCGAACAGCGCTCGCAGGGTGTACTCTGGCATTCTTTTACTTCAGTAAGATCACACCTTTCCACCGATCAATGTATTCTGCTAATGCGTCTTAGTGGCGTTCTATTTCTCGGTTCAGCCTTACCTTTATTCTTACCTGCAGGTTGTTCAGGGCTATGATGTTGCCACAGCTGGCCGTGTGACCCAAACCTTTGCCTTCACGTCGACCATTGCTGCCTTCGCCGTGTCATTGCTCATCAAATATACGCGCCGGTACCGTGTCTATGTTACCTGCGGTTGCGTCATCTACATTGGCGGAATCCTGTTGATGTTGCTCTACCGTAAGGAAGGAAGCTCACCGGCGCAGATCTTGGGGACGCAGATTGTCGTCGGCATGGGCGGCGGGCTCCTCAACGTTCCAGTGCAGTTGGGCGTTCAAGCGTCCGCTAGCCACCAAGAAGTTGCTGCAGCGACAGCAATGTTTTTGACTTCTATGGAGATGGGTGGAGCCGTTGGAGCAGCAATTTCAGGAGCTGTTTGGACGCATCATATCCCGAGAAAGCTGCAACTCTACCTCCCTGATGAGTTCAAAGCCGATGCGGGTGAAATCTTCGGGAAGCTGACCAAGGCATTGTCTTACCCAATGGGATCCCCCGTCCGGATAGCCATCAATCGCGCATACCAGGAGACCATGAATAAGCTCCTGGTGTTGGCGTTCGTTGTCACAATTCCGCTGATCCCGCTCAGTCTACTGATGACGAATTACAAACTGGATAAGGTATGTGCTTGTGAAGACGGTGTTGATATTGAACGGATTGACTAATGTTGGCGTAGATGAGCGAATCATCACATCACGAGCCGATCCCAGTTGAAGATGAGGCTGAGCCTGAGGGGCGCGCGAAACGAACCTGACAGACAGCATTGGCGTTCATGTACCCTTCGCCTGAAGCTGCCACATTGTACAAACACATACTGGGAGTGCATTTCGGTTTAAATTGCAAGGGTACTCTATTTTCATTCCGCCTGCTGTCCATCGTCGCAAACCTGCCTGGGATAGAGAAGGCGGTGTGGATGACCCATAATTTGGGATTCGAAAATGGAATGTGTACAATCCAAACTATATACTCTGATGATTGATTGGTTGCCCTTTTTTTTCTCTTTCTCTTTCATGCTTTTGGGTTGAGGCCGACGGTGCCGTTTGTGCGAGCATTCATTTGGCGTTCTGGAATCTCCTTGATGGCTTGCGCCATGACACTTAAGCTGCAACGGCGAGAACGGCCGGCAGCGGATGATCCTGCGGGATGATATTATAGATGTTACGACTAGACTAGATGATTTATGGGTCACGTTATATATATAGCAAGCATTGTCACTTATTTTTTGGATTCTACTTTGCGCCTTGTTTTTTTGTAGGTTTTGATTGATTGCTGTGGTGGTGCGACGATAATAAAGCTGCGGATTGGACGGGGGGGTTTGAAGATGAGGGAAGCCGACTGATATGTACCGATCCCCAGG